ATTTTTACAATATTCTATATATATAATATATATGTATATATTTATAAATATATATATATATATATATATATATGCATACTTTTATATATACATATACATGTTTATATAAGTATGCATACATGTACATGTGACGTGATGGCTCAGATAGTAAGTGAGCCTCGTCAATGTACAGCAAAGATGGGTTTCGAATGCTGAGTGATGCTTTACTACATGTGTGCAAAAGTGTGTGCATACATATGTACATATGTATGTGCATACATATAAATGTTGTGTGTATTATTTATTATGTTAAACATTTTAGGTTTTTGAAATTGTTTAACATTTTGCATGTAAAGTTTTCTATATGTGCTTGTATGTTTATGTTTGTATGTTTAGGTTGAATGCTCGTTTTATGTTGGGTGTGTTTGTAAGTTTGTAAATGTATATTTGTGTTTTGTGTTTGTTTGTATGTTTAATTGTACGTATGTATATTTCGTTTCTTTGTTTTGTGTGTGTGTTCTATTAAAGTAATTTATAAATATTCGAAGCCTTGTGTCTGTGTGCGTGTGTGTTTGTGTGCGTGCGTGCGTGTGTATGTGCGTATACGGATGTGTGTTTTTATGGTGTGATACTAAAAATATTGAAAGGAAACTATTATACAAGTGGATGTGAAATGAACGAAAGAATGAATGAATAAACGAAAGAATGAACAACTTATTGGCAGATTTATTCATTAAATTAAATTAGTCAAAGAAAACCGATCAATCAATCAGATATCGCGGAGTTAAGATTGACAACTTCTCGACCAGTTGGAGGAACGGGCTGGGGTTCAACGCCCTCATTCACGCCCACTGCCCCGAACTTGTTGACTACAACACCCTCAATCCCAATGACCACATTGGTGATGATTATGATGATGAAGATTGTGATAATGATGATGATGTTGATTGTGATGATGATTATGATAACAATTATATCGGTGTTGAAGATGAAGATACTTGCGACGATTACGATGGTAATGATGACGATCTTAATTTTATTTTTGACGATGATGATGATGACGATGCTGATGATGATACAACAGGAAACTTAAACAACGCGTTTATAATCGCCGAAGAGAAGTTGGGCATCAAGAAGTTGTTGGATGCCGAAGGTTTGTCTGTTTGTCTGTTCGTGACGATGTCGATGACGTCACTTATTGTTGATGATCAGGTGTAAATGTTGTTGCTGATGACGTCATTTCATTAGTCAGTATCTTAGACATTGTCTTCGTATCCTCACAATCACCTCTACCGTGAACATTTTTGGGGCAGATGTGGACGTCTCAAGGCCGGACGACAAGTCGATAATGACCTATGTCGCTTCTTATTATCACTTTTTCTCCAGGATGAAGTCTCAGATGACTGACTCGAAAAGAATTAACAACGTCAGTTTTTGTCGGTGTGGTGTTTTTTTGTTTGTTTGTGGTGGTTTGGTTTGTGGTGTGTGGAGAGGTGTGGGTTTGGCCATTTGTGGCGTGTTTATCGTGTCGTGTTTTTGGTGTGGGAAACGAGAAAGTTGATCGTTAACGTAGATCACTACTTTTTATTTTGAGGAATGTTTGTAGTCTGTGGCTGGCGTGTTTCTAGTGCGTGAGTAGGACGTGTGAATGAGGTGTGTGTGTGTAAATTGGGATGAGGTGTTTTTCTTACTTGCGTCGTTTCATGGTTTGTATGTGTGTGTATGTGTTTGTTTGTGTGTGTGTTTATTGTTTGTGCGTGCGTGTGCGTGCGTGTTGTCACGCGGTTCAGTCATCCTGCCATCATCTTCACTTTATCATCATCAACGTCATCACTGCGTCATCATCTTCACAAAAGGTGCTGGCCAATTTGATGGACATAAAACGAGACGAGGACGATTACGAGTGTCTCGTTTCGAATCTTCTCGAATGGATCAACCTGAAGATCTTCAAACTCAACAATCGAACCTTTCCGAATTCCGTGGAAGGCGTAACGAAGGAGATGAACGATTTCACCAACTACAGACTCGTTGAGAAACCGCCTAAGTTCGTCTCGATGATGATGATGATGATGATGGAGGTTATGATGGTGGTTGTGATGAGGAGGTATGATGATGGCTGCTATGGTGCTGACTGCCACACGATAATCGTGATGGTTTTTTAGAAATCCAAAATACATTACGTCATCGTCACGTCATCAGGTCACTCACCACCATTCCAACTAACAAACCAACCAACCAACCAATCAACCAATCAATCAATCAACCAACCAACTAACTCTCCAGATACAAAGAAAAAGGAAACCTCGAAGTCCTCTTCTTCAACATCCAGGCCAAACTGAAGAGTGGTCAGAAAAAAATGTACACGCCCCCTGAGGGTAAACTCATCAGAGATGTCGAATCCGCTTGGCTCAGACTGGAGAGGGCTGAACATGATCGGGAGCTTGCCCTTAGAGAAGAACTGATAAGGTTGGTTGTTGGTAGTGTGTCTATACGTGTTTGTAGGCTGTCGTTGCTTGGCTACCTGGTTCGATTACAATGATACTTGCTATATGTTTCTGGCAGTTATAGAGTTTTGTTTCAGGCGTTTTTGTCGTGTGGTTACTTAATTCAAATGCTTGCAAAATCGTTCGTTGTGTGTTTGTGGATTGCTGTGGTTGCTTGTTCACCTTGTTCGAATACATGGATGTTGGTTAGATGTGTGTGTTTGTGAGTGTTTGTGTGTGTGAGTGGGTTGGTGACGCGTCATTTTGTTGTTTTTTTTATCAAAGTGTAGACGTATCTGTGTTGATTGATGTGCTAAGAGATAATTTCAATTTTTCAACACAGACAAGAAAGGCTGAAACAGCTGGCTGAGAAATTTGAAAAGAAGGTTTTTACTTTAACTTTCAAATATTTATTATACATTCACATTATCATTGTTTTAATGGTCATCATCAACATCTTCATCGTCATCTTCATCGTCATCTTCATTGTCATCATCGTCATCATCAGCATCGTCATCATCAACATCATCATCTTTATCATCTTCATCGTCATCTTCGTCATCTTCGTCATCTTCATCGTCATCATCAACATCGTCATCTTCATCATCATCATCATCGTCATCTTCGCATCACGCAGGCCATCTTGAGAGAGTCCTGGCTGAACGACATGACGAGGATTGTGAGCGACCAGACATTCGGCAACAACACTGCCCAAGTTGAGGCAGCTCTCAAGAAACACGAAGCTATAACTGCTGATGTTGAAGCCAGGGTTGGTCGGTTGGTTGGTTGGTTGGCTGGTTGGCTGGCTGGTTGGCTGGTTGGCTGGTTGGTTGGTTGGTTGGTTGGCTGGCTGGCTGGCTGGTTGGTTGGCTGGCTGGCTGGCTGGCTGGTTGGTTGGTTGGTTGGTTGGCTGGTTGGTTGGCTGGTTGATTGGCTGATTGATGTAATTTAAAACAATAGATAATCAATAATGAAATAATAAATAATATTTTCCAACAGAGGGACCGATTCATCACCCTCTCCAGTATAGCGCAGGAGTTGTACCAGGAGAACTATCATGGTAGACAACCTGTTAAAGAAAGGTCTTATTTTTTCGTTTGCTTATTCATTCATTCATTCATTCATTCATTCATTCATTCATTGGTTCATTCATTCATTCATTCATTCATTCATTCATTCATTCATCCATCCGTCCATCCATTCATTCATCACTCCCTCTTTCATCGACCCATCCATCCACCCATCCACTCCAACCACCAGAGAGCAGCAGATTATAACCAAATGGCGGCACCTGTTGGAGTTGCTAGAGAAGAAGAAGAAGGTGTTGCATGGTTTCAGTGAAATGTTGGACCTCTTTCGGGAACTGGAGAGCATCTCTCAGGAGCTCAGAGACATGGAGGTTGTTAAGTACTAGCGGTCAATTTTTTAAGAATATTTTAGAGTTCGTCTGTCATTTTAATTGTTCTCGATCTTCGAATTAAGTGGCACTACATCACTTCCACGCCTCTATTTTCTCTTCCACATACTTCAGTTCGCTCTACAAAGCGAGGACCACGGACGTCACCTGGTTGGGACACAGGACCTCCTCCAGAAACATTCCCTCATCGAAGGTCAACTGAACGGCCTTGCCGAGAGGGTTAAGAGGTTAAACCAGAGATCACTGCCCTACAAAAAATCTCTGCATCCGGAGGCGCAACTACTACAGCAGAGGATCGAGCCCCTGAATAAGGAATTCGAGAAGTTAGTTTGAAGATGGCTTTCATTATGACACACACATATACCTGGTTTAAAACATTTGTATTTATAATAATTTTCGGCACGTCAGACACATGCACAAACAAACACACAGACGCACTGACGAACGCACACGCACACACACACACACACGCACGCACACGCAAACAGCATCCAGCACTTGTGTCAGATCCGTCGCGCGAAACTGGAGGAGTGTCTGAGGTACTACCAGTTCGTGCAGGACTCTGAGGAGCAGGAGACCTGGCTGGTGGAGATGAGTGGCCTGGCTCAGTCGCAGGACGTCGGCAAGGACCTGGCTTCCTGCATGATGCTCATGAGGAGGCACGAGGTTTGTTGGCAGGGATGTGCTCGCTCAGTAGTTGAATCGCCAGGTTCGATGGTGAAGGGGCTTGTTTCAAGACGCCTGCTCAGTAGTTAGCACACGCTTGACTGCCCAAGTCGTTGGTTCGAATTTCATTTCGCAAATGTTTTGACAGCTATGTCGTACAATACTCAGTTGTGCAAATGTTGAAATAAAATGTTTCGAATGTTTGGAGGTTGGGAAGGTGACGGCATCGTGGTCGGTGTCATCTTCATTATAAACTTTGTAATCTCTAACCGCAGTTATTATCTTCATCGTCGCCACCATCGCTTACTTATTCCTGATCGGTAATGCATGCCACGCAGGCTCTGGAGCAAGAAATATCGGCACGCATTCCGGATAGTGAGAGGATCTACAAGGTGGGAGAGCAACTGATTCTGAACAACCATCCGTCGAAGAGAGATACGGAGGCGAGGGTGAGGAGGCTGAAGGGACTGTGGAACGAGTTGAAAGAGATCGTGAAGAAGAGGAGGCTGCTGTTGGAGGATGCGGCTGAATCGCATCAGGTCTGTTGGTGGTGGGCTAGGTCGATGGATTGATAAATTGAAGGATAATTAAATGAATTAATGAATGGATGGATGGATGGATAGATGGTAGGGCAAACAAAAAGGATGCATGGATGAACTTAAAAGTGGAGGAATGGTTAGACGGAGGAAAAGAATAATAGCTAAATTGAATGAATGAATGAACGAATGAGTGGATTGATGGATAGGTGAATGAATGATGGATAAGTTGATTTGGAAAAAAATGTTTTGCAGTACTACGCGGATGCAAACGAAGCAGAATCCTGGATGAACGAGAAGATGCCCCTAGTCACCAGTCAGGATTTTGGAAGGGATGAACCTTCTGCCAAGGTCGGTTGGTTGGTCGGTTGGTTGGTTATTTGAGAGATTGGCTGGTCGGTTGACTGGCTAGGTGGTAGATTGGTTATTTGACTGGTGGAATATCTCTTGTTTCATTGGTCGTACGAATGGGTAACTAAGTTATGACTCCTCCGTCCATCCATCCATCCATCCATCCATCCATCCATCCATCCATCCATCCATCCATCAACTCGTCCACAGAACCTTCTGCAACGACACATAAGGCTGGATGGGGAGATAAAATCCTTCGAGCAGGATATCTATCGTCTGGACCAACTGGCCGCCCTCATGACCAAGGCCTCCTCCTCCTCTTCTGCTGCTGCTGCTAATTCCGCCGCTTCAGCTGTTGGTGTTGTCATGCCATGTGTGTTGTATCAGTTCAATGACTTTTAGGTTTGATTTTTTGAAATGGAATTAAGATAAATTGAAAGAGAGAGAGAGAGAGAGAGAGAGAGAGAGAGAGAGAGAGAGGAAGACGGAGTAGAGAGAGAGAGAGAGAGAGAGAGAGAGAGAGATAGAGAGAGAGAGAGAGAAGGAGGATTAAATAAATTGTGGCCAAAGCATCGTATGATGCTGCTACTACTACTGCTACTGTTATTGTTGCCATGTACAAAAATGTTGATAGAAAGATAGGGTACATCAAAAAAGGAGCGACACAAAGGGTGAAAATGAATGAAGGAGAGAGAGAGAGAGAGAGAGAGAGAGAGAGAGAAGAGTAATACACGAAAGAAGAAAGAGAAAGAGAAAGACAGAGTGAAAGTTATTTTTGTCGATTATTTATTAATCTGGTACATTACGATAATGTGAATTAACTTATGAAGAGAGAGGTAGAAGGAGAGTGTTCTTCATACACTCTATTACACTGTAATCGCTTTTTTGACTGATAACGCTTGCTGCTTGGAGGAATTTATTTTATTATCTTCATCTGTTGATTGTTCTCGTGGAATGTTAATTAAATTGTTTGCCGTTCCTAATTGACGTCATTTCATTGTTTTCATTGTTCACTGTGAGTTTGTTCGTTATTTGTTCGTTATTTGTTCGTTCGTTCGTTGTTTGAGTCGGTTAGTCATTCCGTCTATCTTTTTATTCATTCGTTTGTCCATTGATTCATTCATCCATTCATCCATCCAAATATCCATCCATCCATCCGTCCATCCATCCATCCACCCAACAGCTCAAGATACCGGCAACATCAACCAAGCTGACGGTACCATCTCAGCAAGTTGCGAATGGTGACTACGTTGGTGCTTTGAATGGGGGAGGAGTGGCGGTAGATGGGGACGAGGAGGAAGTGCTGGAGGAGACTGCTGATGTACCTTATGAGTATGAGGTAGGTGGTATTTTTTCAACCATCATTTTTTTGGTTTTCCAGATGAATATTTGTTGATTATAGTAGCTGTTAAATTTATTTTGTGAAGAAGGTGAAGAGCAATTAGGTTGGAGATTCAGAAATCGTCGTGACTGTTTTGAAAAAAATTTCATTTCATCTATTGTCAAATTTTTATCCGCCGCTGCAAACAATCTCGTAATATTTTTGCCGCCAGAAAAATTTGTTGGGACGTCTGAATTTGAATAAGAGATTTAAGAAGAGGTTTAAGATCTGTCAGTAGGAGAATCGTCGGTTGTACATGAATCGTTTACTGTTCTTTTCGCAATGGATTGCTTTCCATTCTAAGACGATTTTTTTCTCAAAATTTTCAGTTTTTAGCTGTTAGAGAAAGAAAAATTTCGTAAGAAAGATTGAAAAAAATAAATAAAAAATTAAGCAACGCTGAAATTGTTCTGACTTTCCTAAACAACTATATATCTGATAGTCTGGATTATATGTATATATATATAATCCAGACTATATAAGTGTTGAATAAAATTGGAAGATTAACTCTGGCTTAATACAGATAAAACAAACCAATCAACCAGTCAAATAATAAATAATCAATCAACTAACTAATCAAATAAGCAATCAACCATCCAATCAACCAACTAACCAATCTACCAACCAATCAACCAACCAATCAACCAACCAATCAACCAACCATCCAACCAACCAACCAACCAATCAACGAACTATCCAAGGTGGAAGAAATTCAGGAACAAGACGGATTCAGGGATGAGGTCGTGGAAAGGTCAATACCCCAGATCAAGGCCATGTATCCGTATAAAGGAAATGGGATGGAGGCTGGCAAGGGAGAGGTGGTGATGATAATGATGATGGTGGTGATGATGATGACGATGGTGGTGATGATGATGACGATACTACTACTACTACTATTAATAATAATGATGATGATGATGGTGATGACGAGTATAGTTATGATGATGATGATGACGGTATCTATGTTGATGATGATTGATATGATGATGTTGACGATTATAGTTGTGATAATGATAATTTTGATGGTGAAGATGATGATGATTATGATTATTACATGGTGATGATGTTTTAGAAGTTTCCACCAGCGGTTTTATGTATGCATATGTTTGTATGTATGTATAACTTTTCAGGTACTCCTTCTTCTTGAAAAGACTAATTCTGATTGGTGGAAGGCACAGAGGGACAACGGTCAGCACGGCTACCTGCCAGCCAATTACGTTAAAGAGATCGAACCCAAGGTCATTCAACCTGATGATTGAATGAACAAACGAATAAATAAATAAATTAATTAACTAATGGTTGATTGATTGGACGAATAAACAATGATTTTATAATAAGGTGTACAAATGAATGAACGATTAAATAAGTATTTATGTATTCAGGTCATTAAAAAGGTAATCCGCCAGCCAATCAAAGAAAAGGTGAAGGTCATGGTGACGAAGACAGGCATGAAGAAAGAAGTGGTAAAAAAAAAGAAGAGTAACCTGAAGAGGAAGCCATCAGGTTTGGTGATTGATTGTTTGGTTGATTAGTTGATTGATTGGTTGCTGATTGTTGGTTGGCTGGTTGATTGATTGGTTGGTAGGTTGGCTAGTTGATTGATTGGCTGGTTGATTGATTGATTGAATGGTTGGCTGGTTGGTTGGTTGATTGATTGATTGATTTGTTAATATTCTTCCATTGATAGCTCGCACTCAGGCCAACCTACACTTTGATAGAGTCAACTTAGAGCAACGACAACAGACCATTAATAATGCCTACAAAAAAATCAATGTTCTCAGTCAGGTATGTTTGTATGTTTGTTGCTTGTTTGTATGTTTTTTGTTTGTTTGTATATGTGTTTGTATGCTTGCTTGTTTGCTTGTATGTTTGCATGTTTGTTCATTTTGTTCTTCTGTTTCAGGATCGCCGACGTAACTTGGAGGGCGCCATTTTGTTTTTCAAATTTTGGCGGGAATGTGACAGCTTTGAAGACTGGATGAATGAGAAGGTTGTTTAAATGAATGAATGTTTGAATAAATAAATTAAAGAATGAATGAATGAATGAACGAACAACTGATTGTATATACTAACGAATTGATAAATGACTGCGGATCTAACCAGGAACAAGTCTTAACAGCTAAAGAAAGCTTGTCCGAGAACATGGAAGCAATCAAGAAAAAATATGAGGTGTGCTAAAAAAATTCGAGTCATTCATTCATTCATCCATTCATTCATTCATTCATTCATTCATTCATTCATTCATTCATTCATTCATTCATTCATCCACTCATCCATTCATTCATTCATTCATTCAATCATTCATTCATTCACTCATTCAGTCAATTAACATTCGAAATTCTCACGAAATCAGCACTCGTATAAAAGGAACGTTTGTCAAGGATGCACCTTAAATATTTTCAGAAGAGAAATACATTCGAGAATTTTATCCCTCTTAGTAGTATTCCGTTCTCTAATATTTCTAAATCATTTTTCAAAATTTCAACAGCAGCAGCAACATCTTCAACGCGGTAAAACTCTTTAACATTATAACATCCTCTATGACATCCTCTATGACATCCTCTATGACATCCTCTATGACATCCTCTATGACATCCTCTATGACATCCTCTATGACATTTTCTAAGTTATTCGAGTTATTTACTAAAAAGCACAAAAATTCACTAATAACAATTGACCGATCCGCCATGTTGTTTGCGTGCGTACGTACACACACACATACATACATACATACATACATGCATACATACATACATACATACATACATACATACATACATACATACATACATACGTACAAGTACATACATAAATACAAACAAACAAAATAATCAGTTGTAATATCTCTCTCTTCTAATCCATTGACCATTCATCCCATCGACCAATCAACAGCTTCTGATAACTGACATGGCGGCTAACGGTCACATGATCGATGACATCAACAAGATGGCCGATGAGATGGTGAAATCGAACCATCTGAGGAAGGAACAAGTTAAAAAGAGGAGGGATATGATTAATGATAAGTTAGTTGATTGTTTGGTCGGTCGGTTGGTTGGTTGGTTGTTTGTTTGGTGAAATCGAACCATCTGAGGAAGGAACAAGTTAAAAAGAGGAGGGATATGATTAATGATAAGTTAGTTGATTGTTTGGTCGGTCGGTTGGTTGGTTGGTTGTTTGTTTGGTTGATTGGTTGGTTGGTTGTTTGGTTGGTTGATTGGTTGGTTGATTGGTTTGTCGGTTGGCCGGCCAATGGTGGATGAATGAAAGAATGAATGAATGAATGAATGAATGAATGAATGAATGAATGAATGAATGAATGAATGAATGAATGAATGAGTGAATGAATGAATTAATGAATGAATGAATGAATGAATTGATTAATGAATGAATGAATGATCAAACAAATGCTTCTATCAAACCACAGATGGAACAAACTGAACAACTTGAAGAAGCAGAAAGAAAAATCTCTTGCTGGTGCATCTGGGTTGGTGATGAAAATGATGAAGATGGGTGTGATGATAATGATGCAGATGGCGATGATGACTATGAAGATGATAATGATAGTGGTGATGATGATGATGATAAAATTGACGAAGAAAAAGAAGTTGATGATGACGACGACACGCACATAAAAAATTATACACACACAAATGACACACACCCAAACGACACACACACACACTCACAACACGACACACCCACACACTCACAACACGACACACACCACATTTTACATTGTAGAATCGAACTCTTCCAAAAACTGTGCGACGAACTGAAGGAATGGATGTCAGAGAAGAACAACTCCATTGTCAACCCTGAAGAAGTTGGCAAAGACCTCAAATCCATCCAGCTACTCCAGAGGAGGCACCAGGGACTTCTCCAAGAGTTGAAACCTCTAGGGGACAAGATTAACACCCTGGGGCTTATTGCCCAAGAGTTAGTGATGGCTTTCCTCTTTCTATCTCTTCCTTTCTCTCTCTCTCTCTCTCTCTCTCTCTCTCTCTTTCTCTCTCTCTTCTTTATCTCTCTCTCTCTTTCTCTCTCTCTCTCTCTCTCTCTCTCTCTCTCTCTCTCTCTCTCTCTCTCTCTCTCTCTCTTTCTCTCTCTCTCTCTCTCTCTGTGTCCATTCATTCATTCATTTATTTATTTTTGTCCTTTTGTTCATTCATACATATATATTTATTCATTCATTCATCCATTCATTCATTCACTCTTTCATTCATTCATTCACTTGTTCACACCGCACCTCATCCTCCATCCAGCGTTCGCAAATCGCACCCCGATGAGACCCCACACGTCAATGAGAGGGAGGGGGAGATAAACAGTTTGTGGAAGGCACTGCAGGTTCCTGATGATGGTGATGATGATGATGATGGTTATGAGGATGGTGATGATGATGATGATGGTTATGAGGATGGTGATGATGGTTTTGAGGATGGTGATGATGATGGTTATGAGGATGGTGATGTCGATGATGATGATGTTGGTCATTGTCATTCGTCATTATTCACTATTTGTTATCATCGTCGTCATCTTCTTTGGTTTCATTTTCATCGTCATCATCATCATCATCATCGTCGTCGTCATCATCATCATCGTCATCATCATCATCATCGTCGTCATCATCATCGTCGTCATCATCATCATCGTCATCATCATCATCATCGTCGTCATCATCATCATCGTCATCATCATCATCATCATCATCATCATCATCATCATCGTCATCATCATCGTCGTCTTCATTGTAGGACAAAGCAAACAAACACAAAAAGTTGCTGGACGACATGGAGCAGTTGTACAAATTCAAGGGAGATGCTAAGGATTTGGTGAGTGGATGATGATGATGTTGTTGTTGATGACGATGATGAGTGAGAGAGCGTTATCATCATCATCTTGTCAACATCATTATCAACAACATTGTAATTATTAAGATCATCATCGTCATCATCATATCGTCATTATCATCATTACTAAAATCTACAACAACATCGCTTTCATCATCACCGACACCACAACCATCGTCATCACCGTCATCATCATCGTCATCACTATCAGGAGACAAAGATGAGTGAATTGAAGATGAAACTGAAGGAGAAGGAAGTGCCACACACGGTTGCAGAGGCTGATGACCTTCTAAAGAAGCATCACGACCTCAAAGACGATGTCAATAATAACAGGCAGAAGTATGTTCATAATAATTATGTTGATTGTGATGATGTGGATGGCTATGTTGGCGATGATGATGATGTCGATGATGATGATGATGGTGATGATGAATGGATGCTGTTTTTAAATGGTAATGGCGATGAGGCTTAATCACTCACTCACTCACTCACTCACTCACTCACTCACTCACTCACTCACTCACTCACTCACTCACTCACTCACTCAACCAACCAATCGCAGACTGAACAAACTGATGGAATTAGCGCGGGAAATTCTGAACAAAGATCCTGAAAACAGGGAGGTGGTGGACAGGATGAAGTGGCTACAGTTGGAGCAGGATGAACTGGAGGAGTTGTGGAAGAGGAAGAACAAGGGGCTCAACGATGCTAAAGACTTCCAGGCTCGTTTAGTGATTGACCTGCGATTAGATTAATGATTAGATGGATATTATCATGATTAGGTCTTGAGGTGTCAGATGATATAATGATTAGTTGGTGATAACTCGAATAATTAGATCGTAATTTTTGTATTATCTTTGCCGTCATTTTCGTACGTTCATTTTATTTTTATCATCTCGTTCATTATAATCGTCTGTTATCTCATATTCTCATCATTTTAGTTTTTTTTTCATCATCACCCTCGTCATCATCATCTTCATCATCATCGTCATCCTGTTATTATTTCCATAATCTTTAAACTTTTCAGTAGATTATTCAGAGTCGTCCCAAATATTCTGTTTTGATTCATTTTCGTCATCATCATCATCATTAATATCACAATCATCATCATCATCGTCGTCACCCTCATCATCATCATCATCGTTCTCCCCACAGACCTTCCTTCACGATGCCAACCAGCTGGAATCTCAGATAGCCAACCAGAAGGCACTACTTGACCTCAGTTTGAATGAGGTCGGAGTTCAAGTTTTATACTTTTTAAATTTACAATCTTAATAACTTTGTTTATTCTAACATTTTTTTTGTCTTTTATTTTTCAATATTTAAGAAATTATTAAAAAAACCGTTTTATCAGTTATTCAAAATTCAAACCTGATTCAAGATCCTTCAACCGTTGCTTTAAAATATCACCCCTTCTCTCCAATGACATTTGACCTTTCCGCGTTTACTGGAGGTGGTGTGGTGTGGGGATTCAGCGTTGTACCAACTTAACTTAACTTACCGGGTTCGATTTCAAAGAGACACGTTGTGCACGGGCTAGCTACAGAATATTTACCGTGCATGTTCACCATAGAAACATCTGCTTCGTGGCTGGCGGCGTTCGAGATCGCCTGGTATGGACCTCCTCCTCGCCTGGTATGGACCTCCTCCTCGCCTGGTATGGACCTCCTCCAAATCGCAGCAGACAGGATGGCCTGACTTCGCCGTTACTGGTTCCGTCGCTCGGAAGAGCCTGCCAGCTTCGCCAGGAAGATCCAATTTGTCTTTGATTTTGTTTAGAACGGGATTCAAAACTGAACCCTCTTGAGATCTTCTTGTAACTGGCGCTGTATAAATTAGTTTCCTCTATTTTGCTGATGACTAACTCGTTTCAAATGTGAACGCCACTACGTTCTGACCTTTCAATATTCAATCTTCAAGATTTGACCTACGAAATATGACATTGACCTCGTGACCTACATGAACAAACGCAGGCTGACCTAGACAATCCCGAAGCCCTGAGGAAGAGGCAGGAGCAGATCGAGGATGCTCTGAGAGCCCAGGAGGAAAAGTTGAAGATGTTGGACGCTCTGGCCGATAAGATGATCAAGGACGGCCATCCAGAAGCTAAAAAGTAGTTTTGGCTGTTGTGGCTGTTATGGTAGTGGCTGCGTAGTTACTGCAGTTGTAAAGTTATTGCTCTTTTATTTCATGTGTTGTTGTACGGTGTTGTACGTATGGATGATGTTTAAGATGGCAACAATATTAATAACGACGATGATACCATCATGGCCCGTCCCCTTACCACATCATTCATACTCACGCAGCATCGATGCCAAGAGGAAATCCTTGCGCGAGAAACTGGAGCAAGCTAAGCAGAAGTTGGAGGAACAGAAGAGGAAGCTGGTGGGATCAGAGATGATGCTGGAGTTTAAGAAGGATGCCGATGAGGTGGTTGGGATGATGACGATGAGGATGGTGATTGGATGTCGTGGATATGATGGTGTTACAATTGTATTATTCATGTGGCTGTTATTGGTGATGGGCTGGCGTTGGTGTTGTTGTGATGATGACGATTCCGTGAAGCAAAAATATCATCGCTAACCATAACATCCGGAAAGTTATCATTCATAATATTGACGATTTGATTGATGTTGATGATGATGATGGAGAAGGAGATGATTGTGAAGAAGATGATACTGTTGGTAATTATCATTGTAACATTTTCGCAACCCCCACCCAGCTCTCTGATTGGATACAGACCAAGTACCTGATCGCATGTGACGAATCCTACAAAGACCTCACCAACCTTCTACCAAAACTTCAAAAACACCAAGCCCTCGAGGCAGAGGTCAAGGCCAACAAAGGTCGACTAGATGATCTCGTAGATAAGGGAGAGGGCATGATCAGCGGGGGCCACTACGCTGCTCCGGAGGTCAAGAAAACCCTTGTCAAGGTCAAAGCTGATTGGATCAAGCTGGATGATAAGGTGGGTTGAAGGTTTCACGAATTGTTTTACAATTCTTACGTTTTTGTCTATCCTTGTTTGTTTGTTTTATTTTTTTTTTAAATTTTTTTTCTCGTGAAGGTGAAGGACAAGGGCTTGAAGTTGAGGCAAGCTGCACAACAGGAGCTCTTTAATAAGGTTCCAACCCCACCCACATCACTTCACATCATCATTGTTTCATCACATCATCACAACACCTCATCACATCACAACAACACCTCATCACATTTTTTGCAGGCATTGGAAGACGCCAATCAGAAGCTGTCAGAGATGGAGAGGTTGCTTGCATCGCAGGATCTTGGCAGAGACCTGAGGAGTGCCAAACATCTGCTCTACAAACACCAGGTCTGTCGGAATCGTTTGTTTGTTAGCAGAAACGAAATTTGTGGCTTTCTAGTTTGTGTATTGAGTTTTTGTCGGTTGTCGTTGTTGTTGTTATTATCGAAATGTATTCACTAACCGACCAATTACACAACGAGTAACTCACCAATCGACCAATCAGATGTTAGAGAACGAGATGAAAGTGAATGCCGAGAACCTGAGAAGCATCGTGGACCAGGGCAACCAACTGGCCAAAGATGGACATTTCGATTCGATGAGTATTCTCAAAGCTGTTAAAGATTTCGATAATCGGTCAGCTTGTATTTAGTTTTTTGTATTTGTTTGTTTGTTTGTTTGTTCGTTTGTTTGTTTGTTTGTTTGAGGATTATTTAATTAATTGTTTGTGTTTTTTTTCGGCTGGTGCTTGTTTGTCTTGTCCTCTTCGAACGTTTGCTGCTTCTTCGAATGATTTTTTCGAAAATTGTGTATCTTGTTTTAGATTCAAGGTGTGTCAGCATGTTAATAATGTACAAGTGCCATGCTATTCACCGCCACTACTGCAGAAACTGTACAACCGCACGCACGCACGCACACGCACAAACAAACACCAACCACACACACACACACACACAACCACACAGCTTCAAAGCGCTACAGCAGCCAGTCGCTAAGCGTCGCCACCTTTTAGAAGAGTCGCTGAAGCAGCATCAGTACATTTTTGACGTGGATTCTGAGCTGCAGTGGATTCAAGAGCATTTTCCGGCTGCTAGCTCAGTTGATTTTGGAAGGACACTCATCGATGCGATGAACTTGAACGCTAAGCACAAGGTGTCTCTTTAGTTTTTCACTAATTCGTTTATTCGTTTATTGATTCATTCTTTCGTTCGCTCGTTCGTTCGTTCGTTCATTCATTCAATTGTTTTTTATTCATTCTCACTCATTCATCCATTTATTCGTTCAGTCATTTATTCAGTCGTTCATTCGCCGGTTTGTCCATCCATCCATTCGTTCATTCATTCATTCTCTCTCAGAAACTTGACCTCGAGATTCAAGGTCACCAGCCTCAAATTGACAAAGTGGCCAAGGTAGGGGAGGGACTTGTTCGTGCCAACCACTTCGCCAGTAACGATATCAAGGTAGATTTTTGGTTTGCATCGCCACCGGTAGTGGCTGGTGTGGTCGCATTTTGAGCTGCTGCCTGCCATGCCACCAACATTTTTCAATCACCATCATCCTCATCATCATACTCATCACCATCCCACTGACCACCACCACTATCATCATTTCCATCATCATCATCATCACAATCTTCATCCCTTGTGTTATAATATTTATATTATAAAAATTTAAAATTATGTCAAACTCCATCTTACAGGCGAAAACATCAGAACTCCTCTGCACGTGGCAGTCGTTGTTGGATGCTGCTAATTTAAGGAGGCGTGGCTTGGAGCTGTCGATTAATAAGCATCAAGTGTGTAAGGTTTAGGGTCAGATGGATAGCTAGATTGATTGATAGTTAGATAGATAGACATTAATGAATGGAAAGATAGATTGAGAGTTGGATAGATAGATTGATTGATAGTTAGATAGATAGACATTTATTAATGGAAAGATAGATTAAGAGTTGGATAGATAGATAGATTAATTGATTGATTGATGGATGGATGGATGGACGGATGGATGGACGGATGGATGAATGGATGGATGGATGGATAGATGGATGGATGGATATGAGGTGATAATAAAGTTTAAAAAAAAATTTTGTGAAGATATTTGCGATGATTTTATCAACAATGCCTTTGTCATCTTCATCATCGTCATCACAATCGTCATCACGATCGTCATCATCATCGTCTCCCTCACAATCATCATCATCATCGTCTTACAATCATCATCATCACCACCATCATCATCATCATCAGTACCTGTTAGATGCAAACGACTTGCAGACCTGGATATCAGAAAAAAACATCCTTCTATCCAGTAAGGATCTTGGGAAGGATGAGAATTCTGTGGATAAGCTCATCACTAAACATAAGGTGTGTGTGTTTGTGTGTGTGGGTGTGTGTATGTTTGTGTGTGTGGGTGCATTTGTGTGTATGGCTGTGTATATATTATCAAACTCAGAAAAGTTCAATTGAGAGAAAATAACTCAATAAGAGACCCATAGACAATGACATTAGTTTACGAATTAATGAGAGAACAAAAATATCTGTCGTTACTAAATATCAAACATGTATGTCTGTGTGTTCGTGTGTTGCACACACACACGAACACACACATACGCACCCACATACAAACACACATACGCACACACACACACACAAACACACATATGCACACACACACACAAACACACACACACACACATTGCAGGCTTTGCAATCAGAACTGACAGCTCAGATGAAGTTACTAGGCGATCTTGAGAAGAACTCGCAGGAGATACAAAAATCCGACCCCGCATCCTCCAGAGAGATCGCAACTAAACAGGTCAGTGAGAGGTCAAGGTTGGGTTTTTGGGTCAATTGATCGGGGCGGGGCAATCAGGGGCAATCAATGAAATTCAAATTAGAAGCCTATCAACCTGTCAATCAATCAACTGACCAATTGTCCAACAGTCGACCTTGAACGATCAAATGCGACAATTTGTGAAGAAATCATCTGAGAGGCTGGCCAACCTACTGGCTTCAAAGAGAGTTCTCGAATTTATGAGGGAGGGAGGTGAGTTGGAGGAGTGGATGGATGCCCAGATGCTGGTTGTGACGTCAGAGGAGTATGGTCAGGATTACGAACACATACAGGTTGGTGGTGTGGTGGTGTGGTGGTGGTGATTATCTGATGCCACCATTAATACATTTTATAATTTGAATTATCATCGCCATTATCATTCTAGCATAATCATCATCATCATCCTTATCATCGTCAGGTGATCTTGAACAAGTTCAATGAGTTTCAGCTTGGAATCGAAGCCGGGTCGAAGAGGTTTGTCAGAGTTGACAAGATGGCGACAGAGCTCATTGAGGATAACATTCCTAATAAAGGGATGGTAGTTGAGAAGCAGAAACAACTTAGGTGTGAAAATGGTGATTGTGATGATTTTGATGATGATGATTGTTGAGATGATGATGATGATGACGATGGTTGAGATGATGACGACGACGATGATGATTGGGATAATCATTCACTTCTGCCTTATCCATTCGCTTATCCATCCATCCATACATTTATTAATTCATTGAGATCCATCCCATCCATCCCATTATCCCATTCCAGATCGCAATGGCAGGACCTGCTGGAGCAGATGGAGGCACGCAGTCAGAAGCTGCTCGGGGCCGGAGAGCTGCACCGATTCAACAGAGACGTGGAGGATGCCCTGACGAGGATCCAGGAGAAGTATGCCAGCATCCCGGACGACCTGGGGAGAGATCTCAAGACTGTGCAAGGCTACATTAAGAAGCATGAAACTTTTGAAATTGAATTGGTCGCTTTGGATGCTCAGGTGTGTGTGGCGTGTTTTGTGACGTGTTTGTTTGAAGTTTTGGTGTGTTGTTTAATTTTTATTGTTGTAAATAATGAAAGGTGTGAAGTAGTTTTGCATTGTTTTACATAAGCCTGTCTGTCGTATAAAAAAGTTTTTTTGGCTCTTGCAAAAACCTTTCATCCGGAAAACATTCTCGCGACAGCTTCAAATCCTTTTCGACGACTCGGAGCGACTGCAAGCGACGTATCCGGGTGGGAATGCGGAGCACATCAAACACCAACAGGGAGTCGTCTGCGAGAACTGGGACATCTTGAAGGAGAGGTCGGAACAAAGGAGGATGAACCTGCAGGCACAACTCGATCATTACTGCCTACTCTCCGCTGTTGGTCTTTCGGTTTTGTTCGTTTATTTGTTTTTGTTTGTTTGTTTGTTTGTCTGTTTGAATATGTTTGTATGTTTGTTTGTCTGTCTGTTTGAATGTGTTTGTTTGTGTTTTATTCGTATTTGCGATTACTCGATCATCTGCTTGAGAAGTTTTTCACTATGTCCTGTTTTCTGCTTGCTGAAAGATGTTAAACTAGAATTCTACGCCGGCTCTGCCATCGTCACAGGCAACGTGGAAAGACAGCAGCCCCAAAGTCGAACACCACAGACAGTCGCATCACATCACCACCAGCATTACGTCATCATTATCACTTTACCATTACCCTTCATTAGGCGCGCAACCTGATAAGTTGGTCAGAGCAATCCTTATTGGACATGCAAACCAGCAAGCCTCTCCCACTCAGCCAATCAGTGAGCTCCGTAACGGAACAACTGAAGGAACACATGCTGATGAAAGCGGAAATAGAAGCCCGGCAGGAAAGTTTCGATGACGTCATCAATAATGGGAACACCATGATCCAGAATAAACATTTTGCATCTGATGATGTTAGTTTGCTGTCGTGTCTGTTGTGTGCGTTGGTGTGTGTTTGCGCGTGTGCGTGTGTGTGTGCGTGTGTGTGTGCGTGTGTGCGTGCGTGTGTGTGTGCGTGTGTGTGTGACGTAATTTATTACTATGGGGAATATGTTTTATGTGGAGAACTTGAATTTACCGCCATGCCAGTGCACACGAGATCGTATTAAATCGGCACACTTAGCCAAACACCACTCCTTCTCCTACACTCACTCCAGCCAGCTCTCATCTCACATTTATTCATTTCCACACAATCCCATCTTTTCAGATAAGAGAGAAGATGAAAGAGTTGGAAAGGACGAGGAAGAAGCTGGATGAGGTGTGGAGGCGGAAGAAGAAGATGCTGGATGACCAGCTGGATCAACAGATCTTCCTCAGGGATGCTAACCAACTTGAAACCATCACAAATACCCAAGAGGTTTGTGTATGTGTGTGTGTGTGAGTACATGCGTTTGTACGTGTGTGTGTTTTTATGATTTTATTTTTGGTAGTAAAATATTAAATTTTATAATTAAATTAACCTGTCATACAATCCATCGATCAATTTTATCATTCAATCAATTCTACCATTCAATCATACAATCAATCAACCAGCCA